CTCCCCCTCCTCTCCCCCTCCTCCCCGGCCTCCGCACGGCAGAGCCGGGGCGCAGGGCTCGGGCCCCTGGGAAAATAGCGATAGCGTGAAAATAGCGAGCGGAGCGCTCCGCGCTTCCCGGAGCTGCCGGAGATTTCTGCCTCCCGGGGCACAGCCCGTTTAAAAGGCTTTCGCTTCAATCCGTCTCTCCTCGCGGCCTGTAAACATCCTGACCAAGGGAGTAAATATGTCGGAGGATGTCTGACTGTCGGGGCACGGCCGCCTCTCCCGAGGAGAGCCCCTGGGGGCGGGAGACGGCTGCTTGCTGGCCCCCCGAGCTCCTCCGACCGCGCACCCGCTCCGAATCATGCCGGGCTGTCGGTCTCGACCGCGGTATAACAGAGCTCTCCTTGTTCCTGTGCTCGCAGATCTGACCTCCTTATTAACTACGAGCCGCCAAACTGGGGTTCATCTCCCCAACTTGCAGCCTTCCGCCGGCCAGTTCTTCGCGTCTCTAGACCCCATTAACGAGGCCTCTGCTATCCTGGGTCCCTTAAACACAAACCCAAGGAGCTCAGTGCAGCACCAGTTTCAAGACACTTTTCCAGGTACATCTTGTCCCTCCTCGACCCTCCCGTGGTGCAGGGTCCTCCGTGCTGGAGCAGCCCCCTTCCTCCCGGAGGGACTCGCCAGGCAATTTTGCAAGGCCGGGGTGTGTGTAGCGAGGTTCAGATTTTGGCCGAAAGCCGGGCTGTGTTGGGGGGAGGAAGAGCCGGCTAGGACCCGAGCTAGAGGACCGTCCCATCGAGTACAGCAGTAATAACCTGGGCCGAGAGAGAAGAAGCGGGGAGGGGGGAAAGGAAGAAATTCGTGCTCCAGGCAGCTCCACCCGCGCCCGAAACAGCACGAGCTGACAGGACACGTACCCATAGGGCAGGCAGGGCCACGTTGGCCCGGGCCCTCCCTGCACATCACGCTCCAACTCTTATTCTGATCAATTTAAGGCTGTGATATTAATAACGCCGTCTCCTCCTCTCTTCCCCCGCTTTTCTCTTCCCCTCCCCAGGTCCGTACGCAGTTCTAACCAAGGACACGCTGCCCCAGACGTACAAGAGGAAACGCTCCTGGTCCAGGGCTGTTTTTTCCAACCTGCAGAGGAAAGGCTTAGAAAAACGGTTCGAAATCCAGAAGTATGTCACCAAACCGGACAGGAAGCAACTGGCGGCGATGCTGGGGCTGACAGATGCTCAAGTAAGAACGGCTTCGGTTTTATTTCAAACCTTACTTCCAGTTTAGATGGATACCAGAGGGCAGCGAGGTTTCAAAGTGTTTTCCCTTCCTTTATCATAAGCGGGGCTGTCTGAGGAGCTGCACCTTGCCCCGAGCATCTCTTGTGCCCAGGTTCTGCAGCATACCGTGGCCTGGTGTGGAGTGCCTTTGTTTTGGCCACCGAGGAGCAGGCCGGGCGGACAGACAAACGGGGCCAGGGCAGACCGTCAGTGTGCGCTTTACTGGAGTGCAATTTGCTGTAGAAGGCAGTTTAGGGCAAAGGAAGTAGAAGCGAAAACCCTATTCTTAATGTCCTTTTTTTTTGTTTTGTTTTGTTTTAAATTTTTTTTTGGGTCTAAATCTTTCCTTGCGTTGTGAAATCCTTCGTTCTGAGGAAGTGAAAACACTTCTTCAAACAGAATCATTAAAGGCCACTCTGTAATGATTCCACTATTGAAGGCCCGCAGCGCACAGAATTGTAGAACACTGTGGTTTTTTGAGCAAGATTTGGTTTCCTGGAAGAAGACGTAGAAGGAGAGAGGAAAAAACCCATCCAAACAAACAAACACGGGGTGGGGTGTGTGCGGTATTTAAATACACAAACTAGAAGGAGGAAAAAATAAAACAAAGCCCTTTAGTGGCGTAAGGATGTGGGCAGCGGGAGGGGAGGACGGCGCCTCCTCCTCTCCCCGCGTTGCGGGTGCCGGTGGAAGGGGTCGGTGCGGGGCGCGGTGCGGGGCGCGGTGGGGCCGTGCCGCCCGTCTAAGGGCGGCGCGGCCGCAGGTGAAGGTGTGGTTCCAGAACCGGAGGATGAAGTGGCGGCACTCCAAGGAAGCGCAGGCCCAG